ACTACTTTCAAGTCACCATTTCTTTCGAAGTTCAGAAGCTTCTAATTTTAAAATATTGCCATTTATTTGGGCTAGAGCAATAGCACAGTGATAGGGCTTTTGTCTTGCACGAAGCCGCCTGGCCGAGCTGGGTTCAATTCCTCCGCCCCTCTTGGAAAGCCCGGTAAGCTACTGAGAGTAACTTGCCTGCACGGTAAAGCCTGGAAAGCTACCCATGACGTATTCAATATGCCAAACACAGTAACAAGAAGTCTCACGATGGAGACGTTACTGGGCCTGCTCGAGCAAATCAATGAATAACGGGAGGATGGTGACCGTGACCGCCATTTATTTATCTTTGTTTCTACTTGCTTGGTCAGTGTTGTGTCATATTTGAAGATACTGTTAGCGTCAATGTCATGGAGGTTTCTGTTTTTGTTTTCCTTTATATGCATTATAGATTCAGGTCTGACATTAAGGTCTTCAATCCCTTTTGATCTGACTTTTGTGCCTGGCATTAAAAAGAGGTCCGAGTTCATATTTTTTCATGTAGTTGCCCACTTTTCTCAGCATCACTGGGAAAAAGGCTTTTCTTGCACCACTACATATTAGTTACTCCTTTGTCAAAGATTAAATGATCATATATTTGAGAGTCTGTGCCAGGATATTCAGGTCTATTCCATTGGTCTGCGGGTCTGTCTTTATTCCAATACCAGGCTGTTTTAATTACTACCAGTTTGTAGTACAGTTTGAAGTTGAAGAAGATGATGCCTCCAATCTTCTTTCTCCCAAGGACTGCTTTAGCTATTTGTGGGGGTTAATTATTCTATATGAATTTCAGAAACATTAGATCTATTTCTTTGAAAATTGTCATGGGTATCCTTACATGGTTCATATGGAATCTATATATTGCTTTGGGGAGTATTACCATTTTGACAATGTTAATACTCCCCATCAATTACTGGGTATATGTCTCCATTTCTTCATGTCCTCTTTTAGTTCTTGAAATAGTGTTTTATAATTTTGCTTGTATAGGTCCTTCATTTCTTTAGTTGAGGTGATTCTGAGGTACTTGATTTCTTGGGCACAATTTTGAATGGGATTTTGTTTTTTTTGCTTTTTGGGTCACACCCGGCGATGCTCAGGGGTTCCTCCTGGCTCTGCACTCAGGAATCACTCCCGACGGTGCTCAGGGGACCATATGGGATGCTGGGAATCGAACCTGTGTTGGCCATGTTGGCTGCGTGCAAGGCAAACGCTCTACCCACTGTGCTATCGCTCCAGCCCCCTTGAATGGGATTTTTTAAATAACTCTTTTTTCTCTTTCATTATTTCTATATAGGAAAGCTATGGACTTTGGGGTATTGATTTTATAATCAACCACTTTGCTATACAAAGCTATTTTTCCTGGAGCTTTCTTTGTAGTCTTTAGGATTTTCTAAGTATAGTATTATGCCATCTGCAAATAGTAATTGCTTAATATCTTCCTTTCCTATATGGATGTCCTTGATGTCTTTTTCTTGCCTAACTTCTATGAAAAATACATTCAGTACTCTAATGAATAGAATTGGCGAGAGTGGGCAACCTTGTCTTGTGCCTGATCTTAGAGGGAAGGCTTTTAGTTTTTCTCCGTTGAGGATAATGCTTGCAGTCAGACTCTGAGAGGTGGCTTTGACTATATTGAGGAAAGTTCCTTCATCTCCTGTTTTGTTGAGAGGGTTTTTTTTTTATCCTCAATGGGTTCTGGATCTTGTCAAATGCTTTCTCTTCATCTATTGATATCATATGGTTTTTATTTTTTCTTTTACTTAATGTTTTATTTTGCTGTTTAACTTGCAAATGTTAAATTATCCTTGCATCCCCAAAATGAATCCTGCTTGCTTATGGTGTGTGATCTTTTTGATAAATTGTTCTTTTTTACTTGCTAGCATTTTGTTTAGGATATTTGCATCTATGTTCATCAGGGATATGCCTGCAATTTAATTTTTTTCGTGGTGTCTCTGTATGATTTTCGTATCAGAGTGATATTTGTCTCATAGAAACTTTTGGGGATGTTTCACTTTATCCAATTTCCTGGTTAAACTTGAGAAGGATTGGCAATCGTTCCTCTCTAAAAGTTTAGATAAATTTACTAGTCAATCCATTTGGTTCATGGCATTTGTTTTGGGAGATACTTTTGTTTACCTTTTTTTTATATTTTAATGTAGGAGTACTGCTATTTATTCAGCCACTGATTAAGCTGATTGAATTGGGCATGAACTCCGCATTACTTTTTTATTCAGAATGTTAATATTTTATTATCATTATTTCCCCTTTTTATAGATTCACTGTGAGATACAGTTACAAATATTTCATGTTTGAGCTTTGGTAATACGATCATCAAACACCCATCCATTCACCAGTGCACATTTTCTACCACCAAAATCCCCAGTATTCCATTAACCCCCCACTTCCAACTCTTTCCCTGCCTGTGTGGCAGACAATTCCCCCCATACTCTCTATACTTTGGTTACATTCGATATTTTGACACCAGTCCCAGCACCACTCATGATCATCCTATTGTTCATCTATTGCCTCGAACAGGCCCCAGTAACGTCTCCTTCGTCCTAGCCCTGAGATTCTGAAAAGTGCCACATTCAAGGCTCTTTCAGGGTTCGGAGAATGAGACCCATCATTGTTACTGGTATTTGGCATATTGGATATGCCACAGGGAGCTTGCCAGACTCTGCCGTGTGGACAGGTTACATTCGGTAGCCTGCCAGGTTGTCCAAAGCAAGAATGAGATAATAAGATGTTCTGGGAGCCTGGTTTTAGTCTCTGGGTCTTGGCCATTGATGAGATTACACAGCGCCGGGGTTGGGGGAGGGCAGTTGGTGGGTGTGACCACCGCCTACTGGAAGATGAAGGATCTTGCTGGAGGATGCTCATCCCCGATCCGAGCAGGCTTGGAGATCTCAGCCCCGGGACCCACATGCCTTTGTTCCTCTGCCGGTACCTTAATGCCAGACCTTCAGTCCCAGCATCACTCAAACCTGCCAAAAATTCAATGTTAGATAATTTGTTTTGTATTGCTTGTTATGGATAGAATATAATGTCCAGGAAATTCTGTGTAATTCTCTTCTGGAAGCTTTAGTTTATAGTCTCTGGGTCTTGGCCATTTATGAGATTAAATGGTGCTGGGGGCAGTTTGTGGGTGTGAATGCCAAGATACTGGAAAACTGGGGACCTGAGGGGAGGATGCCCAGTCCCAATCCAAGTGGGCTTGGAAACCACAGTAAGGTTTCACTTAACTTCGTGCCAGCGGCCCTAACTGCGTCTTTTGATCTCTTTCGAGATTTATGGGTCTCTGAAATAAGGCCAATAAATGAGCTTATATAGCTTATATAATTGTTTGTGGGTGTGGCTCCCACATACCTAAATTTTGGCCATTTAATTTCTTGGTAAACTTGGCCACAAGTTGTTGAGTTCTGGACAAAGGCACAGCAGCAATTTTGGAGTATCTGAAAGTCTGAAGGCACCATAAGGCTGCTGATGCACTCGCCCCACAGGTACAGATTGACCTGCTGGTAGTACCATACCCCCTTTGTTTACCTTTTTAATTTCCTCAATAACAATAGGTCTGTTCTGGTATTTCAAGTATTAGTTCAGCCTTGGGAGGTTATAGGAATCTGAAATTTATCCATTTTTTCTAGGTTCACCTGTTTCATGGCATATAGATTCTCAAAGTAATCTCTGGTGATCCTTTGAACTTCTTTGGTTTCTGTTGTGATGCTGGGATGCATTTGAATTGGTTTCTTACTAGTATGAACACTATTGAATTTCACTGGTAATAATAACCTGTATCTGTATAGAATTTCCCACTCCCACTACCAAAGTTTCAGTGTCATTCCACCATTTAAAAGACCCCTCCCCTTATATATTCCTTTCCTTCTAGCAACCATCATTGTTTTCACCAAGTTTGAAGGTGGTTTTTGTGTTTTTGTGCCAATTCCCTTGTGTTACCATTTATATTCCTTATATGCCTAAGATCATATAGTAATTCATTCCCTGAATTATTCACCTCACATAACCACCTCCAGTTCTATTTTTTTTTGCCCCACTGGGCACAATTTCATCTTTTTAAATGTATGAGTAATACATTGAGTATTATAGACCACAGCTTCTATGTTTGAGCATTTAGGTTAAGTCCATGTTTTCTTTACTGTGAATAATATTCCTTTGAACTTCGGGTTGCAAACATCCTTTGAAATTACTGTTTTCATTTCCTTCAGTGTAATACTTAGGAGAGTACTGCTGAATCATATGAAATTTTCATTTTTGTCTTGATATTTCCAGACTGGAGCGATAATACAGTGGGTAGGGCATTTTCCTTGCACGTGACCGACCAGGGTTCGATTCCTCCATCCCTCTTGGAGAGTCCGGCAAGCTACGGAGAGTATCCCGCTCCCCACAGCAGAGCCTGGCAAGCTCCTCGTGGCTATTCAATATGCCAAAAACAGTAACAACAAGTCTCACAATGGAGACGTTACTGGTTCCCGCTCAAGCAAATTGATGAACAACGGGAGGACAGTGGACAGTCTTTATTTTAAATTTAATGATGGTTGAAGGGATCACTCGGGGTGGGGATTTTTAATTTTTAATAAATAATTTTTAATTAAATCAGCATGAGCTACACTTAAAAAGATTTCATGTTTGAGTTTCAGTCATACAATGATTGAACACCCATTCCTCCACCAGTGCACATTTTCCACCACTAATGACCCCAGTATCCCAGTATCTCTCTGCCTCCCCTCTACTGGCCCGCCCCTCCGCCTGCTTCTAGGGCAGACAATTGCTCTATTCGTCTCTCTTTACTTATGGGCATTATGGTTTGTAATACAGATAAAGAGGGGCCATCATGTTTGGTCCTTTATCTACTTTCAGCACACATTTCCTACCCCAAGCTATCCCTCCAACCATCAATGACTTAGTGATCCCTTCTCTATCCCAGCAGCCTTTCCTCCCAGCTCATAAGGCCGGCTTAGAAAATTAAACACTTCACAAATTTGAATTTCATCCTTGTGCAGGGGCCATGCTAATCTTCTTGATATCATTCCAATTTTGGTATATGTGCTAACGAAGCAAGCACTCATTTTTATCTTTTTTTAAAGAATTCTCCATATTGTTTTCCATTTGGCTGCATCGATCTTCACTCATGCCATCAATAGTGTGTGTACCAGAGTTTCTTTACCTCCATACCATAACTGACTTTTTGTTCCTAACATACTATCATAGGTCGTTCTCACAATTGTGAAGTGATTTTTATTTAATTTTTCCTAATGGTAAGTGTTCTTGGACAGTTTTTCATGTACCTCTGGGCTATTGAATGTCTTCTTTGGAGAAGCATCTGTTCAGGTCTTTTATTCATTTATATGAAATTGCTTAGAGATTTTTTCATTGTCAAAGTTTGAGGGTTTTATTTTTTGGTGAAACAATTAGTTTTATTGAACAAAACTTACTTAGAAAATTGTTTGGGGAGAGAAAGAGAGAAAACATCCATTCAAGAGAACATGGGCTTTTCCACTCCTGGAAAGATATCCCAGAGAGGCAAAAAAGTATAGTTGAAGTGACATCTGCACTTGTTTGTTCATTGCAACACTCTTTACAATAGCCAGAATCTGGAAAATACCGAGAACAGGTGACTGGTTAAAGAAACTTTGGTACATTTACATAATGGAGTACTATGTAGCTGTTAGAAAAGATGATCAGTTGATCACTTGATCCCCCATTATTCATCGATTTACTTGAGCGGGTGCCAGTAATGTCTCCATTCATCCCTGTTGCGTGCTAGTGTAGCCTAATGGCATCTGTTCGTTCTAGGAACATGCAGAGCCTCAAATCGATCATTCAGGGTCTTGACGAAGAAGTCTGACCATCTTGTAGGTGGGCATCCACGCGATCTTTTGACGCCCCGTGGAATCCAGTCAGTAATGGCTCTAGTCCAGTAGTCACCTCCAAATCTCATTATGTGTCCAGCCCATCTGATTTTCAATGCCTTGGAAAACAAGACAGCGTCCCTGATTCTTGATCGTCGACAGAGGTAGGAATTCCGGATTCTTTCGTTTGAGTGAAGCGTGATACTCCAAGCATAGCTCTTTTTATTCCTCTTTGGGAGACCCAAATAGTGTTCTCATCCTGTTTTCGTAGGGCCCAGGTCTCTGAGGCGTATGTTAATGCAGGAAGAACAGTGGAATCGAAGAGATGTGCCTGGAGCAGGAGGTTCTTCATCCTCTTAGCTATTTCTTCGACACTCTTGAAGGTGTTCCAAGCCACTCTCTTCCTCCTGCACAACTCAGGTGCCAGGTCATTCATCATGTTGACTTCTCGACCTAGGTACACATAACTGTTGCATTCGGAGATGGTCATTCCTTTGAGAGTGAATGGAACATCAGGAACAAGACCGTTTCTCATAAACATTGTCTTCGTGGGATCCAGCTGTAGTCCGACCTTTCCACATTCACAGTTGAAGTCGGCCAGTATTTGTGCTGCTTGGCTAATGTTTGGAGTTATTAGAACGATGTTATCAGCGAAGCAGAGGTCGTGTAGTTGCTGACCATCTATCTTCACTCCCATTCCTTCCCATTCCAGTCATCGCATGACATTCTCGAGGGTGGCAATGAAGAGTTTCAGTGAATTGGTATCACCCTGCTGAACCCCTCTCTTGACATGGATGATCACTTCATTGTAGAATCGTGAGATCCTGTTAGTGAATCTGTAATACAGCTCATGGAGGATCCCGATGTATCAAGTTTGAATGCCCTGTTTGCCTAGGGCTTCGATGACTGCTTCAGTCTCAACAAAATCAAAGGCCTTCTTTAAATCAATGAACGTTAGACAGAGTGGCATCTTGAACTCCTGAGAAACCTCCATGAGCTTGGTTATCATGTGGATATGGTCGATTGTGCTGAATCCTTTTCAGAACCTGGCTTGCTTGCATGGTTGTCCTTCATCTAGTGTTCTGCCAATCCTATTCATGATGACTCGAGTGAACAGCTTGTAGACGACGGACAATAGGCAGATTGGGCGATAGTTGCCAATGTCATGGATGTCTCCCTTCTTATACAGCAGTACAGTCCTGCTGGTTTTCCATTGGGACGGAAACTTGCATTCAGACAGGTAGTGTGTGAAGAGCCCAGCCAGTGTGTTGATGAGTACTGACGGCAGGTTCTTCAGGTGTTCGGGTCTGACCTTGTCTGGGCTGGGAGCTGTTTGTTTCTTTACCGATGAAATGGAGTGATTTATTTATTTCTTTATATTTATTTATTGTCTAGAGGCCACAGTCTGCAATGCTAAGTCAAGGCTTACTCCTGTCTCTGTGCTCAGGAATTACTCCTGGTGAGGCTCAGGGGACCATGTCAGGATATCAGGAATTGAATCTGGTACAGCCACATAAAAGGCAAGTGCCCTACCCACAGCTCTGGCCCGAATGTAATACATTTTAGTTGTTCCCAATTTGATGGATATAAAAATATGTCTTTTGGTATTTTATTTAATAATGATCTCATTATGAGTGACTTGGCTTCCATGTGTATTGACCTTTAGGGTTTCCTTTTTTGTGACTTGCTTGTTCATAGCATTTATTTCTGGTTTCTATGCACAAAACTTTAATTTTTTATTTAATTAGCTGTGCTTTTAAATTTTCACTACTTGCTATTTTTATCTTGTTTTAAGGGGTTTTCCCCATATTAAGAAAACAAATAGATCCAGAGAGATAGTACAGAAGGTAGGGAACTTGCCTTGCATGAGGACCATCTGGGTTCAATTCCTGGTACCTGATATGGTCCCTTGAGCTCGCCAGTATTCCTGAGCACAGAACCAGGAGTAAGACCTGAGCACTGCTGTGTATGACCCTCAAACAAAAAATAATTAAACACATACCATTAAATCTTCTATATAGATATTTATATTGCATGTTTAGTGGTTTTACTCCTATGCTCAAAATATGCACTTTTTCTTGTGAGTCATATTCCCAAAACCCATATATTTAGTCTCTTAAGCTTTCTTAATTTTGCATATGGAATAAGATAAGCATCAACTACTTTCTCACTTAAAAGAATAGCTGATTTGTGACCAAAATACAAAGACAGTCTACAGAATGGGAAAGGATATTCGCCGAACACACATCTGACAAGGGGTTGATATCAAGGATATACAAAATACTGGTTGAACTCCACAAGAAGAAAACATCCAACCCCATCCAAAAATGGGGCAATGAAATGAACAGAAACTTTCTCAAAGAAGAAATCCAAATGGCAAAAAAAGCACATGAGAAAATGTTCTACATCATTAATTATCAGGAAGATGCAGATCAAAACCACAATGAGATACCATCTCACACCTCAGAGACTGGCCCACATCCAAAAGAACAAAAGCAACTGATGCTGGCGCAGATGTGGCGAGAAAGGGACACTCCTTCACTGTTGGTGGGAATGTCGACTGGTTCAGCCTTTCTGGAAAACAGTATGGACGATTCTAAAAAAATTAGAAATTGAGTTCCCATTTGACCCAGCAATACCACTCCTGGGAATATATCCCAGAGAGGCAAAAATGTATAGTCGAAGTGATATCTGCACTTGTTTGTTCATTGCAGCACTCTTTACAATAGCCAGAACCTGGAAGAAACCTGAATGCCCAAGAACAGATGACTGGTTAAAGAAACTTTGGTACATCTACACAATGGAGTACTATATAGCTGTTAGAAAAGATGAAGTCATGAAATTTAAATACAAGTGGTACAACATGGAAAGTATCATGCTAAGCGAAATGAGTCAGAAAGAGAGGGATAGACATAGAAAGATTGCATTCATCTGGGGAATATAAAGACACAAAATATGAGATTAATACCCAAGAATAGCTGAGATCAACACCAGGAGGATTACTCCATAGCTTAGAGGCCAGCCAGGCATTCTAGGGGAAAGGGCAACTCAGATAGAGAAGGGAACACCAAATAAAGGGTGTTTGGAGGATCCTCCCAGGATGGGAGATGCATGTTGAAAGTAGACTATGGACTGAACATGTTTGCCACTCAAAGCCTCTTTTGCAGACCACAACACTCAAAAGGAGAGAGAGAACACAAGGGATTGCCCTGCCACAGAGTCAGGGTGAGATGGGAGGGATGGGGGTGGGAGGGATATTATCCATGGTGGTGGAAAATGGGCACTGGTGGAGGGATGGGTATTTGATCATTGTATAATTGAAACCCAAGCACAAAAAATTGTAAATCTACAACTGTACCTCATGGTGTTTCACTAAAAATTAAAAAAAAATTAAAAAAAAGAATAGCTGTTTTTTTCTGATTATATTTTCCAATATGTGTAGTTCCCTTCACTTATTTATTTTTTAATTTTTTAATTTTGTTTTCACTTATTTATTTTTAAAAATATTTTATTGACTTACCATCGCTTTATGGCATCGCTTTATGGCATTTCAGAGGTTTGACTTCATACCCCCATATGAATATAGAATTCTCACTCACACATCTAAAGTTCAGTTATCCCACCACCTAAAGACCCCTCTGCCCATTCTTCCTCTGGTAGCCATAATAATTTTTGCTTCTTACTAATTTGTTTGCTTTACGAATGCGTATCCCACTTGCCCCCACCGATTTTAAGTTTGACCTTCACTGTATACTAATTTTTTTTCATGCACATAAAGATGCTTTTTTAACCACTTTTCTCTGTGTCTAGGTCTATATCAAGCCTCCTTTTCCCATAGCCTTAATGGAATATTAAAAGAATGCCTTTGATTCTTTAATATTTTTGCAATTTATTCAAAGTATACCCAATGCTATTTACAGTCTTCAAGCTAGATAGTATTATTGAATCCAAGATTATGTTCATGGTGCTCAAAGGTCAGTGTCTGAGAAAAACAGCTGGTGTGAGAAACTGTCACTGTCCTACCATTGTTCATGGATTTGCTCGAGCGGGCCCAGTAACATTGTGACACTTGTTGTTACTGTGTTTGGCATATCGAATAAATCAGAGGGAGCTTGCCAGGCTTTGCCATGTGGGAAAAATACTCTCAGTAGCTTGCCGGGCTCTTCAAGAGTGGTGGAGGAATTGAACCCGGGTCAACCACATGAATATATAC